AACTTCTCACAATATACACTTTTTTAATGCAGATTTCTCTAAACTACACATTTTTTCTAAGCCATTTTTGAGCCTAGAACTGTGCCAGGGGTGAAATTCAGAGCTGAACTGGGTTCCAGTTAGTGTATTAGCCAAGGAAGGGCAAAGTTGGTTGATTTGCCTAAGAAGAATCTCTCCCTGTCTCTAGTGCTACCTTCTTTATATCAACACCTTTGTAGTCCATTAGCCCTGAGGGGATCCCATCTATACTTTCAGAGATATTTGGAGACATCCCTCCAGCAGCATAAAGTTAGGGTTAACATCTTGGTTGTCCCCTTGAATGAGACCCAAGATCTGAACTGCCCAGTAGATCAGAGGGCTTCCTGTGGCTTAGCAGTATGTTTGGAGAACATCTCAGCTGATAAAGGTCTCCAGTGCTGGAGGCTGGCAGAACGCAGTGTTGATCCACCCTTGCTCTGACCTTGCCTGTGAGCAGGAAGGGGGAGAAGTTCCCAGTAAGGAAAGCCACAACAGATGCAGCTAAGTGTGAAGTGAGCAATTCTTAGTCTTGTCTGATCGCCGTCACTTGAACTCACCGTATGGGTCAGGCTCTGTCCTGGCCTTCCACTGCCATTTGCACCACCCCCTGCAGTCCAAAATACAAACACAGCACGTTCCAGCAAGGCTGCCAGGGCATTCCTGATGGAAGGGTATGTCCTTGCCAGGCTATATTTAAAGGCATGCATGCTGCCCTTTATTTCTTTGCATGTTTGGGCTGGAAGAGGTCAATGCAAATACCCAGCTCAGGGAAGGCAGAAGAGGAGCTGCTCTCCCAGACAGGGACCTGCAAAGTCTCCTTCTGTTCTCCTCCTGCTCCTTTTCTATCATTCTGTCACAGGTGATGCAACTGCAGACAAACACCTGTCCTGGGTGACGCCATATTTCATTCACACCTGTAGACATAAAGGTAGTGGCTCTACTGCATCTAAACGTGCCAGTGCAGCCCTCTGGAGCTCTTTGGATGTTCACAACTCTTTCCCTAGCCAGGCCTACTTTCTTCTGGCCACTGATACTTTCTTGGCTTTTGTGCATTACCCTCCACCCCATTCTAAAAGGTGGAAATGCTTCTCCGAAAGCATAGCTTCTGGCAGTATTTTAAGTTAAACCATGCTGGTATGTTAGTTTCACCTTTTAACACAGGCATTTTAGTTCCACATTTGACCCCCATATGTTTCACATTCAGCCCCATCTACCAATGGAATATGCCCCCTAAAATTGAATTCAGACTCGGGATGAAAGAAGAAACACCCCTGCACTAGCATCCTGCTGAATCACCTGCATCCCACTGATGGTTTCCCAATTCATGGTCAACAGCATGCAACATTCCTTGCTCCCATTATGAGTTTTCTAGGATTGTCAGGTTGCAATCCAGGCGTTCGCTCTGTCTCTTTAAAACTGATGTTGTTGAACCAGGCATGACACAGTTTTTCTAGCTGTTCCTTCCATTGCAATTTCACCAGCCCCTCCCTCCAGTGGTCTGATCAACTGCTTATTACCAGAGAAGGGAAAACCAAGCCCAGGCAGCTTCTCCATACAACAGAAGGAAAGGGACTATTGCTCTGGGCCTTTTTGAGCTCTGAGCTAGAAACAATCTATGTCAGGAGTTTGAACCCAGAGCCTCCAGGCTGGCGCCATCCCTTTGCTTAATTGCAGCCAGCCTGAAAGCTGGGCAGCTCCCACCTGGGGAGGGACCTTTTGGAAATGCAGAGAGACAGACCCCTGCCGGAGAGCTTTTGAAAGTGTGGATTGGATTGGTTGACAGCTGTTCTGTTCCAAGCTTTCACCTTTAAAAGCTCTTAATCAGGCCTGTTGACAGCCAGCCAGCATGATCCCTGCTTTAAAAGGCATGCTTCTTTTAACTTGTACATGCCCCTGGCTTAATTTATTTTATTTTATTACAGTGGGTCAGTGGCTCAGGGTAGAACGTACTTTCCCTACCCCCTACTCTAAAATCAGGTTTCATTCTCCTTGAGGTGGTAAACTTGTGTCTAGGCTGTACCACTTCAGACTGTATTCATGTGTTTGTTATGTTCCTCCATGCAAAATTAAATCATCTTACACAGAGAAAATGATGGTGTAAAGAAAGGGAGCATGGAACCCTTTCCCCCAACAGGTTAGTCTTCTGTGTGGAAGGATTTCTTTCAATTCTTCATCTGCTCATGGACCCAATTAGATTTTTCTTTTTACCCAAATTTCATTCTAATTGCACTAAAACACGTTAGCCTGATTTTATGGTAGCACTAATGCGCATCGCTACAAGCACACATTAACACTACTATGAGCTTGCACAAATCCTCCCCCAAGTGAAAAACTGGTTTGCAAGTCTGAGGAATCTGTATAATTTGGAAAAAGCATGCCACTGCAGGAAGCATGGGTCAGATTCAAAGACATCCCAACTTATTTGACTCAGCCCCAAATGTCTCTGATGTTCCTATCCCCCACCTGCAGTTTTAAGTGGTTAACTGAAGCAGCCTGTAGATGTGTTTCTTTTCCTTCCCTTTTATGCCTGAAGACGAGACTACTGACCAGATTCAACAGCTCCTAGATCCCAAACCTATCCTGTTTTACCACCAGAAGTCACTGCAGCAAAATGTACTGCTTTGCATATTTTATGTCCCCAAGTAAATATGCACAGGTTTTTTTTAAAGCTTTGGCTATTGGGTGGAATAGAAAGGGAATAGACTAACTATATATAGTACTTCTGCCATTCCAATCCCTTGTTGTAATCTTGTAAGGCTTGTCTCAGCCTTCAGTAGGAAAAGAATTACCCTCTCTTTCTTATGTCCTCCGAACTACCTTGTCAGGTAGGATGCTAGTCAGCATAAAGTACCAGGTGATCCAAGTTAATTTGAAACCTTCCAGATATGAGACATAAGCCTGTGTGAAAGACTGGAAGGAACAGCTCTGTGCGTGCGAAGGGATGATCATAGACACTCCACAGTGACACATGGATACAATGGCTTCAGCCCCACACCCTCTGCAGACCTCCAGCCTGGAAACAAACACGAGGTGCTGGGGTCACTTAGCTTTGGCAGCTGACTCCTGCTTGTTGCAGGCCTCGAAGCGGCACATGGCCATGCCAGGGTCCAAGTATCTGTTTGATGTCAGGAGCTGTAGCCTCATCCTTGAAACTGGTACATAAGGTCAGCCATGCCATGAATGGCTGCTCAGCCTAAAGGCAAACTCTGCAGCAATGTGCAGGATTAACCTGGTAGAAATGGAGAAGCAGTCCTGGGCACAGACTCTTGCTGCATCATAAAGCAGTTTGGCCAGACAACCTGCAACCTGGAAGGAAGGGAAGACCCATACTTACGTTCTGTGAATCATTCCATGCCCAGATTTCCCCTCCTGTTCTGAAGACGTATCTCCTGAGTGGCCCTTCCTTCCTTCCTTCCCAACTTCCTCTCTCCCTCCCTCCATCTCTCTCCCCCTCCCCATTTAGCAAGGCCAAGGATGTGACACCTTACCTGTCACAGGAAACAGAAGAGCTGCAACAAAAACTCCGGGGTTATGCCTCATCTCTTATAGCATGTGTGGGCAATTTGAGGAGGTCTGGGAGCTTTTAAAACTTGCTCTTAACCTACATTTGACCCTTTTAATAACATAAAGCAGCTATGGAGCAAGATGGGGTTATTTTAGTTTAAGAGCAGCTACATTTGACCCTTTTAGTGCTACACAGCACTAAAATGCCTTGTTTTTTAGTAAAGATGTTTCTCCCTGACACCACATTTGATGGCACAAAGGAGATGCATGCAGCACCATGGACCACATACCGCCCAACCCTGTCTTGGGGGAAATAGCTACTCTGTGACACTCACTCTCTTTGCCTTTGCCCACCCGCACAGATCTACCAGCCATAGCATTTCCCTTCAATGCTATCCTCAGCTCTCCCTTACAGTTATCAAGTGAGGTAAATCTAAACCCTTCACTGGTCGTAAGAAGCACCGTTATAAGGCTTAGTGCAGTGTGCATGTAAGCAAGAGCACAATGTTCAGCTCCTGTTGAGTACCTACCTGGTCCCTGAGGTTGGCTCCAGAGGTGTCCCCCCCCTCCCCGAGAAGCCTGCAGGGTTGTCAGTTGAGGAAGGGTCCTTTTTGGTGGTAGCTCCATATTTATGGAATGCCATCTGCAATAAGCTCACCTGGCACTGGCACTGCCATCCTTTCAGCACCAGACAAGGACATGCTGACTTTCCAGGCATTTGGGCATTAGGTATGGCACAATCGTTGTGGGCTACTTCTGCGCTGTGCATTCCCGAGTGGGGGAGGAAATTGTGTTTATTTATGGACACTTTGCCTAATGTCTTGTTTTCAGATTATGCCTTACAGTCTTTCTATTGCATGGATTAAGAGGTGTGGTGAAGAAGGTGGAGTGCTAGACCAAGACTTGGGAGATGCCGGTTCTATTCCCCGCTCAGCTATGAAGCTCTCTGGGTGACCTTGAGACAGTCACTCATTCTCAGTCCAACCTATCTCCTACTTTGTAAAGATAAAATGGAGAGGAAGATTATGGAAACCTCTCTGGTTTTCATGCAGGAAAAAGGCAGGATATAAATAAGTAAGCCAGCAAATAAATAAATTAAATGGCTGATTTCGCATTCCCTCCCCATGCTGTAGTAATCGTGCATATCTGTATTGCCTGTAGGTTGCTTCAAGACTTTTTTTTCTAGTAGGAAGTGATGCATAGATTTAGTCACAGTAGTAGTAGGTGGTGGTGGTGGTGATGTACATGTACGGCTATACCCAAAGCATAGAGTGAGCACCCAGTTCTAATATGGCCTAGCCTTCACAAGAGTAAAATGAGGGTGCTGAGCCATCTGGTGGTCAGACTGCAAATATGCAAGTACACAAGGAATGAAGATGGCGGACGGTGGAGAGAGATTACTATCAGCAACAGCTTCTGAGGCATGTGTACAACACAAGTACCATCCATGAATTCATGTTAAGAATGTCAAGCCTATATTTCATTTTCTAGTTTATTAGGTTTCTTGGTCACCTTTTAGGAAAAACCCTCCCAAAGGGAGGATCAATACCATTACTTCTTACAGTTAATGCATTGCAAAACTCTCTCTCTCTCTCTCTCTCTCTCTCTATATATATATATATATATATGGCCTGAGACTGAAGTATGAGAGGGAAATACCACAGTAGGGGAATGGTAATACTGGAATTGCAGCAGGATGGTCAGTTGTTCCTGGTATCCAATGAATCTACTGCAGTACAACAGTGCCCTTTCTCAGACACATGTAAAAGTCAAACATTTCACATTCAATGCATACCACTGGGATAGCCCACATTACTAGCAGCAGAGTACCTCCATCATAATGACCTTACTCCTGGCAAGGTTCTCACAAACACAGTGCAGCAACTATTTTAGACGTAAAACTCCATAATGAAGAGCAAAACCCAAGAGCAGCTTTGGAGAGCAAGGTCTCTGCTTGGCCCCCATCCTATGACTTCTCGCCGTATGGAGAGGATACTATCTATACCCTGGGATGCACCATGGTAACCCAGCCGGGAAACTCCTCCAGCAAGAGTCAGTTGAACATAATGTTATCCTCTCTTTTTGTCTTTCAGCTTGCATAAAGTGTTACACATCAAAGAGCAAACCCATCCATTTTTCACGAGCTATACCTGAACAGCCCCTGCTAAATTTTTAAACCACATGAGCTGCATTATTGGCCCCACACAGAAGCATTAGTACATCTAAGTGCTTCTCCTACTCTTGATCCTTCACATCCATGGAGACATGGGTCTTCTATGCTGGTGCCAAAACTGTTCCAAAACAATCGTGGGTACATGGATAAGGGAGGGATAAGCACATTCTGTTGCCTAGGAGCACAGAGAAAGCACATCTACATGTAGGCACACCTGTGGAACACAGTGATCTCAGCCAAATTCTCCTGTTTGTACTGGAAACCAGTACAACAGATGCGCCAGTCCTTATTAACTTTAATCTATTCATTTCTGTGCTAGTTCTTGGTGGTAAAACAGCTATGCAGAATCCTTTGTGTAGCATTCTTTGTTCATAAGGCTTGGGAAGAACCTCAGCCTGTTATTGTTGCTCTGTTTTTCTTTTCTTTTTGAAGGAAAACATAGTAAAACAAGTCAAGGACTCCTATTCCTCTTGTCTTGTTTTTCAGTGCCTGACATTTTACTTCCACCCCCACCTCTGTAATACTTTGCAGTCCTGCATTCTCACCCAGGGGGTAGGCAGCGACTGCACACCCAAGATAAAGCTGTCAAGGAAATGAATACCCACCCCCACCTTGACTTTCTTATCTGGGCATGCTCCAGTTATTTCACTGCATATCAGAGCAGGGCAACATATTAAATGAATTATGAATCTACCCACAGCTAAGAAATACTGTGGTACCTGTCTCTGGTTTCTTAAAATTGGCTTGTCACACCAGATAAAAGGACTGGATTTAGCAACTTGGGAGGTGGACCACGTACATCAGTGGCAAACACTGGACCCATTTCTGTGACTCTTCCTCCACCAACATAGAGCTGAAAGGAGAACTTCACTTCAGTGAAATAGGAATGAGATTTCTACTGGCCTGGGGGCCAGGACCTCGTTGCTGATGCCGGCTGAGATGGTTATTCTGGAATGAATACACCAGCTTTCTAGCTCTCTACTTCTAGCCCTCTACTTGACACATTTCACAGGGACCTCTGGTTTCAAATGAGGTCAGTGGCACAGAGGGGTCAAGTCTAGACTCTTTGGCCTCCCATCTTGTGAATGAATCTTACCAGTGCTGCAAGGTCAAGAAAGCACAATGGAAAACCAGGACACCACAAGCAGCCATGCCCCCATGATTCCTCTGCATCTTTCCAGTAAGTACGCAACATAAATCCACCCTTGGCACTTAGGCCAATCCACAGGCCTCCCGCCCCACCACCTGCCTTTTTGCTCACTGCACAACATGTCAAAGCTGTGTGGAAGAAATGGAAAGGGCAGGAAAGTGTGAGCACAGCTGACTTCCGAAACAGAGCATCTCTTTATGGTTACGTTTGCTGAGCTGGAAAAGACCAGACAGGCGAGCTCCATCCAGGTGGTTCTGGGACAGACACTGTTGCCAAGAAGCTGGAAGGCACATAGCCTTGCTGTCCATTCACCTCCACCAGGCTCCACTCTTTGTTTCCCATCTTGTCATGAGGTTGTAACACAGTCACTGGCTGACCTGCCTGCAAGCTAACCTCATGGTCGCTCCTGGCTGTGAAGGAATAAGCCGCTATTACCTGAGGAAAGCAGAAAGAGATGCAATTTATAATACTAGAAGGGGAATCAAGGAGGAAGGAGAATAAACAGGGGGAGCCTGACCTACCACAGAGGTGCGCTAGGCTGCCACCTGGGGCACCTGTTTCAGTGTGTCAGGATCTTGGAGAGATAGGAAGGAAGGTTGAAGCAGATGGCACAGCAGCAATGCCAGAGTGCACCACGCATCAATCTTGGAGTTAGTCACTGCCTGTGCTTAGGCTAAGATGTGCGTGACAGACTTGCATCCCTGGCTGCCCAAAGAACATAATTTCCACTGAGCAGCTTGAGCTAAGGTATGAGTACAAAGAGGAGGAACAAAAGAAACTAGACATTAAGCAGGAAACTAAAACAACAGTATTCTAGTCAACTCTTGAGCATGTGTTAACAACCAAGTTGTTCTATTAACAAGGTGCTGTTGCTATGCTGCTCAGAATTCAGTAAGAAGCAAACGCCTAAGGCAGCAAAGTATCTGCATTAGCCCCGAGAATAAGATACAGGTTCAGGAGGTAATCCTGCTTTGGCTATATTTGACCCATGTGGACAGTCTCCCTATTTCACATGCTACTTCACACCATTTCACTACTTCATGTGCAACCATGACATTTAGTATCAGGCACAGAACTGATTCTCCTTAGAATTCCTATTCCGGCTTAATTTTACAGCTGGCAGAAAAAGGCTTGGGAACATCTAGACCCTGATGGTATCTTGGAAACCAACTGGGGGTCTGGTAGGAAAGAAGCCGAGCAGATTGCCTGTGTTTCAGGAGGAACTCCTGCAACACAAAGCAAAGCATTCGTTCGTAATCTGTACCAATGGAGGCAGAACCCCACAGCCATTTGCATGGGGCAGGGCACTTCCATGTTTCTTCAAAACCAAGAGCGAAGCACACTGTGCATCATCTCAAGCAGAGGAATTGTTTGCGTGAGTGGTGAGGATACGTGAGTGTGCACAGAAAGCGGGCTTTAAGCCCCTGCAGCCTTGGCATTTGAGAGAGACTTGGGCACTTCTATATGGCTTGGCCAGCTTGCTTCATTCTGTAGTTGTTTGGTCTCCCATTGCAAATGGCACATTTGCTTAGTGATACCTCGTCTGCTTCCACACCTGACCCACAGGTTCTTGCTCCACCATACAGAATGCCTCAAAATTGTGACTGTGTTGTTGGTCGTACTGCCAAGGTTTGCATCGTGCTGGGCAAGGTAGTCCTTTTGAACAAAATACTGATGAAGTCACTGGGGAGGAATGTACATGTTTGCATACTGAAATAGACATGTACGAGCGGTCAAAAATGCCACCGCCTTGCGCTCTCCAAGCAAATATTGTTGTGTGCACATCACCCACAGAATGCCAAGGGGAAAATGAGAAAAAGAACCATGAAAAGGACATGTGTTGCCCTCTACTCACCTGTAAAGCCGCTGTTCTGAAATGTACTGGCAGCTTGGGAGTCTGGGGCAAGTTGTTGGAATAATGTCTCTCAGCACCATCACCTGGAGCGAATGGCTGCATTGCAGGCTTTGGAGTTTGGACAAAATGATATTGCTGGAGTTTCCCAGCTGGGACATAGCCTCTTGGGCCTGCATGACAAATGAGACAAGTCATGGTCAAGCTAGCACCAAATTCCTGACATCAAATATGGCTCTCTCCTTTTGTTGATCAGCTACTATGGACAGCATAGACTATAAGTCTTTCTGTGTGCAGCTGTTATTTCTGTGTATCCACTTTCAGTGTCATTGCAAAACTGAGATTTGAGCGCTATACAAGCAATGTTTCCTTTCCTGCTTTTCTGCTACATAACCAGTTGGTGGCACTGCGGTACAGCAGACTAGTGCAAGTACATAAGATGTAAGCACATGTTCTTTCACTTTGACAATTAAATGCAGCATTTTCCCTGTTCTAAAAATATTTGTTAAAAGTGCTGGTTAAATAGGAAAGTAAAACCAGAGGGTTACAGTGTCATCTGAAGAACCAGTAAACAATCATGAACAGGGAATGATGATCGCATGATAAATGCCTTGCATACACTTCCAAAGCTGTACAATTACACTTACAGTGGATGGAATGAAAGGGTTTGGCATTGCTGGAAAGGCTTCTATTTAAATAATGTCTTGTATTGAAAAGGATGAATAGGAAGGCAGAACACAGTGGAAGGGAGAGGATGTGTGGGATGTACTAATGGATAGAGTGAAGAACAGAGTGGGAGAGATGGAAGAACAAGCATAGAAAGTGGTATATAAACAAAGAAGAGAGGGTGAGATGAAGACAGACAGGTGGGATTTGGGGCAAGGTCTGGGAAAGAAGGAATTTGGAAGCCACAAAAATAGCAGAGAGAGGGGTTTAGCTTAGAATGGACAAAGAAAGTAGAATGAAGTGGAATTGATTGGAGGACACGTACATGAACATCCAAGAGGGTGAAGAGAGAAGCAGCATTTAGAAAAGGACATAAAGGAAGGGAAAGAAAGACAAAGGAAAGTTTATTATTCTCCCAGCCTGCTTTGAACAAGAGGCAGGAAGCTTGCAGGCCCACCATCCATCCTCTTAGTCCCTGAGATTGGTGGGCTTACCATTCCTTCCAAGACCCACATCCTGTTTCCCAGTCACCATAGCCCTAGCAACTGTAGCTTGCCTGCTGGGACAGGGCAGCTGCCTGCCTTTGCTTCTCTCTTCTTCCTGCCACTTGCACATTATGCAACTCCCACAAGCCAGCTGAGGACATCCATGATCACAAGGATGCTTCGGTCCAGCTACCCAACACCTAACCTCGTTCCATTTTGAGAACTGGCGGTTTTAGGAAGCTATCTAATCAAAGCCCTGTTTCACAGAAACCCCCCAGAGCAAAGCACTGAAAGCAGCCTCCATCCAGTAAGGTATGCAAGATCTGAAAGAATGAGGCAGGAGCCTAAATAGTTCAGAGAATTTGGAGAAAGTGTAACAAAAGCTAAACAGCTCCTCCTCAGTGAGATCTGACTTGCTAGGAAATAATCTGCCCGCTGCAGGAGAGATTTGCTGGATCAAACCAAAGATCTGTCTAGTCAGAATTCTGTTTCTCACAGTGGTGCTCCAGCGATTTCACAAGCAGTGCCACACGGACTCAAATATAAGAACAACCCTGCTGGATGAAAGCAGAGGCCTATCTAGCGGAGCCTTCTGTTCACACCAGCGCCAAACAGGTTCTCATGGGAAGCCCAGCAGCAGGACATTCGTGCAGCGACATCCTCCTACTAGTTCTCCCCAGCAGCCATGTTCAGAGGCACCCTGACTCTGATCCTGGGGTACTGCATTGGCATGGAGTCAGGTGGCTCCTGGTTGCCTCATCCTCCATCACCTCACAAGACACGCTTCAGCTGCAACAGGGTGTTATTCCCATTGCTCCGGGTTCAGCTAGAAGCGTAACCCAGTGCTTACCGTGTCCACAGCCATGTTGTGTGTGTTGTTAATATGTGCTGTGCTGCCAGCATAGATAGAAAGACACCTGCTAAAACAGAGAACACCAAGGAAGGAGGAATGGCAGGTTCCTCTTGCAGTGGCACACTGTATAACCAAGCGTGTCTGCGGAAACACATCTGGCTCCTGCCCTGAGGCCATTCAATGAGAACTTCTCTGGCTGAAACTACTTCTGTGATGTCACCCCTGTAGGTACTGAAAAAGAGGCCTGTTGGTAGCGATAACCTTACGGTACCTCCGGTATCCACCAGCCATCGGTTAGGGTTGCCCTTGGTGTCCTGGCCATGCAGCAAAGCCACAATCTGTCCCTTTTGCAAGGTCAGGTCCATTGCTTTGTTGCTGGTGGTGTTGCTTATCACCTGGAACAGCTTTTCTGGGCTGTGCTTGCTCAGAAGCAAAAGGACCTTCTTCTCTTCTGCAGGGCTAAGAGGCTGTTGAAAAAGCACAAACAGAAGGGCATCCTAGTGCAGGAGACCATCCTACCATGTTGCTGCACTGGAAGTTGGGACACAATCACCAGGATCCTGCCACATCTGAACTAAAATGTCCTGGGGTAGGATGAGACGAATCCTGCAACTCAAGCAGATTCTGCATATCAATCACATCAATCACTGGAATCACATCGATATCTTTGTGGGGCAAAGGAGGAAGCATTCTGCTGCAGAACTGGGCTGGGGAGATTTTATGTACTGGGAAAAGAGGGAAGCAACTTATTTGCATCCACTTCCACCATGATCATCCCAACTCCTTCCACAGAAACCAAATCAACACTGGGCTGGGAATGAGTGCTGAATCCTCATGCTAAGTTTTTGTTTTTCCCAAGTATGTTTATTAATTGACTATAAACTGCTCTGAAAGCCTTGCCAGCTGAAGGGTGGGATAAAAATGCCAAAGGGCAGGATCCTATGGATCCTGGATATTATTCAGAGAACCATAGGATGGGCTGGGTTCCCAGCACTGAGGTTCAAAGGCTCTGACCTGGATGATGGGAATCAGGGCTTCTTCCTCTCTGCCTTGCAGCCAGAACAGAAAGATCAGGCCATCTGATCCTTGTGATCTAGGAAGCCTCCTGGAGAGGTGTAAAAGGGTGGCTTTTCAGGGCAGGAGTGGGGAGATGACTGGGATGGTCAGGACAGAAGGCATCTTGCAGCCACTCCAGCCTGCTTGCCTCCCTCCCTCCCCAGCTGAAACACTCTTGTTAGAAGGCTGAAAATAGCCATCTGGTGAAAATGCAGAGCAAGAAAATGGGGAGGGAAAGGGCACCCCCACTGCTTCTCCTTCTCTGCATTGGATGAGTGCGAGTCTCCAAGTTCTGAGGGTTGTGCTCATCTCTGTAGGACTGCACCTTAATAAATGCAGACATATTAGAAAGCACAGCTGTTATTCACACATGGCTTCCTCAGAGACAGCCCACCAGACAGACATTTTGGTATGTCAAGGCCATTATACTTTGCTGCCCTTTAAGGGGTCCCACAGTCTCCTGCCCAATGATGCTTGCCTCCACCTCCCAATGTCAGGCCTGGCTCTGATTTTTGCTGAGGGATGTTTGCACTTCTCAGTACTCCAGCTCCAGTCATGTAGCCACGGCAGACTCCAGCCGTTGCCCTCAGCTTAGCACATGTGTTGTGAGTCCTTTAAGGAATGCAATTGGGCAAGTGTCATGGAAACCGACTGGCTAATATCCATAACTTCAGGGAGGACAGGAGACTTCCTATTTCCATACTCATGCCAAATATTGTTGCCTCCACCAAAGATCATGCAGCCGTGGAGACTGGAAGAGCAGAATGGTTTGCAGGAGCAACATCTGTTAGTTTGGCCTTCTTCAACCTGACAACCTTCAGATGTGTTGCACTGCAAGTCCCATCACCCCCACCAAGCAATGGGCCTTCTGGATGGGGAGGATGGGGAGTGCAGTCATAATGATGTGGAGGGTGCCCACTCAGGGAAGGCTACCCTAGCTTTTCCCAGGTGCCTCATACCTGCACAACAGGGCTTGGTGAGACCGTCTCAAATTTCTTGTGGAAGGGGTGAAGCTGATCTTCAGCTCTGCTTAAAGTATCTTTCACCATCTTCCAAAACTCAGCATCTGGGAGGTGACTGTGCGGCAGCTGTAAAGAGGAACCCTGGAATTAAATGGCGTTTCTGAAAAAGCATGAGGATAGCATCTTTTAGAAAACATAATAGATGGCAAAGAATAGACATCCATGGTGAACAACTTCTCTGTGCAAAGTTTTTCAAAAGCAAGGGAAGACCTGTAGATTTCCCATCTACAGTGTGTGTGGCATACATCTTTCCTGCTGCTTTGCTTTCATTTTCCCTGCTCCTTTTTTGGTAAGTTGCTGGAATAGGGACAGAAATGCATCACATCCCTTTTTGAAACAGGGCATGTGGGGAAAGAGTGATTCCCCTGTTGCCTTTGGCTCTACCACAGAAGTCTCAGCATGATCCACAGACAGCGTATAAAATGATGCTTGCTATGGAGCTGGATAAAGACAAATTTTCCTCCTTGCCCGAAGAACCCAGGAATGCAGCATCACCCTATTGCAGAAGAGCATCTCCACGCAACACATCATTCCTTTGTGAAATGCACTGCCACAGGATGTGCCAAAGAAGTGACTTTTAAGGAGGTTACACCAATTTCTGGCAAATTGGTATGTCGATGGCTATTAACAGTGATAATTGTATTAAACCTCTGAGTTCAGAGGAAGTCATATACCTCTGAATTCCCGTTGCTTTAAAACAAGCAGGAGGTGGGTGGGATGTTCCTTCATGATCTGCTTGTGGATTTCCTAGAAACATCCAATCTGCCACTGTGGCAAACAGGATGCTGGGCTAGACGGACCAGCATCCCAAGCAGCTTGGATGTCAATTTTACCCCCAAATTGGGGTACAGACACACACCACTACAGAAATAGCTGCTGCTTCACTGCTAACCTACTGCTGAATTTCAGCAACGCAGCTTCGGTAGTGGGAAAAGGGCACATTGCCACTATAAAACTAGCCTCTCTCTTACCATCCAGTTCACTTAAAACAAGATCCAGAAGAGCATGATTTGTCATGAAAGCATGGTATGCACCAACCGTAAACCTTGCCGGGGTGCAGGTGGCAACAGGGATCACGAAACAAGCCAGGGACCTACGAAGCTTCGGCGAATGGGGCGGCATAAAAATGTTTTAATAAATAAATAATAAATAAATGTAGCCCGCGTTGTGCAGCGCTGCTCTTGATGAGCTATCTCTTAAAATCTTTAAGATTTTCTAGTACAAAGAGAAGGGTGGTGGGGCCCATGCAATTGAACATCCGACTCATTTGGGGATGTTAGTCCAACATATGGAGGACACCCAGCTGTGGGAGGCTGCTGTAGAATAACCTCTCCTGAGAGGTCCACCGGGCACTTTCCTTGCATATTTTCAGCAGCTGATGGGTTTTTCTACATGAGCCTTTTGACCTGCCACTTATCAAGGTTCCTGTTCTGGACTGAGATTGGCTCCTTATTTTTGCACAGGGATTTTCTTTCTCTTCCTTTCTATATTTTCCATTTCAGTGCTCCTAGGTGGTGCTGTGGTGCAGCAGAATTATAGCAAATATACAAGGGTTTCATGCTTCCACTCACAGGTAATACCAGGCTTTCCCTGATCTAAAAGAAGTTGCAGAAATGGTTTGAAAGAACAGGAGAAACCCTGGAGGAGGATGTCACATAAGGCCCCTGCAAACCACTGTCAGTCAGGAATCACAAATGCATAATGAATGCCTCTTGTAGTAAGGCTTGTTAAAACTCTTTTCCTCCTCTACAGTCTTCAAAACCACACACTATATTTTGCTTGTCAGTTTTAATGGGTTTTATGAGTTCCATGTCTGGAAATGAAGCATGGATTGAAGTTGGTTTTAGTGCTTGTTTGTGGTAGTGCATCACCTTAAGTGCACGCAATGTGCAGGCAAGTAAGACATTTCAGAAATCAATCCACAGGAAGTGGGAAACCTGCCGTATTATATCTGGGTAAAAATCAGCAAGCCCGTGGTATGTAAAGGACATTGAAAAGACTGGTGTTGGGAAGAAAGGATTCTGTGAGGATCTGCATACAAATGTTTCTGATGCAGATGCAAAACTCGGGCAGCTTTGGAGGGATCCGGAACAACCTATCTCCACCCCCACCCTGTTCAGGCAGAATTCTGAAACTCACATTTCAGAATGGTCAGACAGGAGGCACAGAAGCGACTCTCCAGAAAAAGAGGGCCAGTGGGGCTTGACAGAGAGAAATGGAAGGAGAGTTTTACATACCTCATTATTAGATAACAGCAGGATAAAAGATGGATGAGGGAGGATATGAGGGAGAAGGGGTATTTCTTTGCACAGGATTGCACTGAGGTCCCAGAGGGTCCCAGGAAGAACTGTGCAAGGGACAGTGGGTGGGTTCTGATGGCACTTAAATCTGCTCTCTCTCCCCATTGATCCCCTTCTTCAAGGGTGGCAGAAGATGAAGCAGCCTTTTCTCTTGCTGATAGCATGCCTAGTAGCCCAAACCTGGAGTCCATTACTCAGTCATGCTGGAGTATGGCCAAGGGATACAGCCCAGGAGCCCTCTTGAATTGTCACCATAGCAACACAAAGTACTGTTTCTTTCAATGGTGGAATGTTCCTAATCGTCAATGGTGACACAGCTGCTAGCTCTGGTAATGAAGAACATACAGCCAGATAATCATCTCCATCAGCACTGGCAGGACATCCCGAACAGTCCCTATTCCTCAGTGAGTCTGCCTGCTCACCCTCATCACCACCAGCTGATATTTCCCCTCATACTCATCCTCCCCATGGCTGCTGCTTGCTTGCTTGGCAGAGAACCCATGCATGAGGAGGCTGTAGCATCCACCACTCCTCCTCCTCCTCGTCACCACCCTTTCCTGGGCCAGAGGGAGAGGAAGTGAATGGACAGGTTGCAACAGTGAAGAGGAGGAGCAACTGCAAGGGGTCTTGCCAGTGGGGTGTTGCTGGAGTTGGAGCCCACAGAAAGTTCCTGAGCATGCCTTCCCTTGGAGCTGGCCCTGATTCTCATCCATCCCAGTCCTTACCTGGACACTCTCCTCTTCTGCCTCTTGCAGAACCTTCTTGGCCAGATCGCTCTGAAGAGCCACAAAGGAATGCAGAATGTGCCCCAGCCACTGCAGGGTGACGTGGTTGAATACGGGCAGCTCAGACACAAGCAAAGAGTTAATGGCAAGATAAGTATTCATGGCAACCTGCTCTTCATAGGTCACACTGCCTGTATCATTCCTCTTCTCCTCAAATTCCTCATAGTCCAGCTGCTTGTCAAAGCGTTTCTTGATCAGTTTCTGAGGGCCTTTCATAGTCTCTGTCAGATTGCACAGCGGAAGGTACACCAGGTCTTCCAACCGCTTCTTCTATAAGGAAGCAAAATCAAAGACATTTCTGAAATCTTGGTATCCTCCACAGTACCAGTAGCAGATCGAAAGTCTTTGTGGCTGCAGCTCACCTGATGCTGCACCTCAAAATCAGGGGACCGCCCATCCCCCAGAACTTGTTTTGGATCTCCAGGGTACCATATCAGCCACTAGACTCCCTTCTCAGGTAGCTGCTCATTAGGTACCACAAACAGCCCTCCTGTCAGTCTGTCCATCACCACCACATTCAGCACAACTGCAGGGTTTTATAGTGATATGCAAAGTGCGTCAGAGGACGCAGGCAAAGCAAAACATCAGCAAAAGGTAAGTGGACAGTTTATGCATAGCAGAAGGCAAGGAGACAGAAAGCCACCTAATGGACTACTGGGAGCTGGGAAGATCCTGAGGCAGGGCTTCCTTCCCCACACCCCCATCTGGTTTTGTCTCAGCGAGGATGTACTTAGAAACAAAGTACTGCTTACAAACTCAGGAAAGACGGTGTTATAGAGTTTCCTCTCAAGTTGGCAATATTGCTGGGTTGTTCCTGCTCCTACATCCAGCTCATTCTCATGTGGTTTAGAACTGAAGAGCATCTAAGAGGTAAAGAAATAGATAGATGACATGTTTTTCCACATGATTTTGTTGGGAGTGTACTCAGTGTCCAGATGACATGTTTTTCAACATGATTTTGTTGGGAGTGTACTCAGTGTCCAGATGACATGTTTTTCAACATGATTTTGTTGGGAGTGTACTCAGTGTCCAGAGCTGCATCAGACTCTCTTGGGTACTTGGAAAAACCATGTGGAAACAGGTTTGCAATGAAGTTCCGGGCTCATAAATGTCACCTCCCTGTGCTTTGTCCCTATCAGCAGTGTTTCTTGAGCTCTGCTTAAAGGTGCCCTGGGGAAAGCAGGCCATCCAAATCAGACAGAGAAAGAACCAGTGGGAGGGAGGAGGAGGGTGAGTGTGGAACTACTTTCTAAGGAATTGCTTGTTTCAATTGCAATGGTTTCTTGCCTCTCCAAAACGCAGGGCAGCTCACAGAATAAAATTACAGATAACTCTGGACTTCTGCATACAAGACATTTATCGTGCACTCAGGATCCCTCAGTAATGGAAGTTTGTGGGGACTTTTCATGACACCCTCCTCCTCTTCAGGGCCTCTCCTGGGTTTCCAGCCATTTGTGCTGCTGCTGCTGTTTTTTTTTTTTTTTTTGGAGTGAGGAAAGTCTGGTATTTTCCTGGATGCCACCATTATTCACTACAGAAACCTTGTGTGTTTTCACAATTCCACTCCATAGCACACTACCACCTTCCATTGTATAATGGAGTACATAGAAAAGCAGAGAGGAAAACCCTGGGGTGGGGGAAACCTTGTGCAAAGAACACTTTAATCTCCTGCAAAAAAAGCAGAAGCAGCTGCCTTGGTAAAGTGCCAGGCTATATGCCTCGGGTAGAAAAGCCCTCAAGAGTGGGAGAAGCAGGGAGTTAAAGTGCTGCTTTCCACAGAGGGAAGCCTATTATTCACTTGGCTAGTCTCAGCCTCACTTTCAGAACTTACTCTCTTTACCTGCTTTCTGCTAAATTGCCATCCCTCAGTGCTATCAGCCTGACGGCCTACGAATAAATGCTTTCCTGGATCCAAGTCCATAGAACTATGGCAGCAGTGATTTGTGATCATAGATCAACATGCTGCCTACTGTCCAGCTAGCTGTAGAGTCCAAAGAACTTCTCGGTTTCCGGTTTCACCCTGGCTCTGCTTCAGATGCCTAGCCTGCATACAGATTCAGTGCACCACCGCGTTCCACTGGGTCCTTAGCATGAGGTCAGCGGTGGGTGTATTTTTAGATCCTGCTATGAGGTCTCATTCCAAGAGAATTCTGAGATGCATATAGGTCAGAAGATGTTTATTGAGGTTGGAAAGAAACCAGGATTCGACTCTCAAATATGACCCAGTAATTTGAGTAGAAATTGTTTTGTGAACCTGCCTATCCAAATCTGTTGTGCTGAATTGTTTTGCCAATTCATTTATTTGGAAGTAAATTCTACTGAACTCTGTGGGGCTTAGACTGCTGGCTAGACTTGTGTGGACTTGCACCGTTAAGTGTCCAATTCTCCCATCTCCCCACATGGAGCCCCTTCAAATCTTTGGATCTACTTTTAAATGTAGCATCTTTGGGGTTTTTATGAAAATGTGTAAATGATGTAAAAATAGCTTTTCCTAATATTCCAGGTTTCAGAATACCATTGCAAGTCATGGCACTTTCTGTGTGCATGTGTGTGCATTTAACAGGCATAATGCCATCTCTGCTCTTTTTTGGTGGGATCTTAAGCAGTGCACCTCTCGAATAAAATGCAATGTGTAGCTGGAAGCAAGCTCTTCCAACTCTGTGTTTTTCAGCTTATACTTAACTGTTGTCCAATAGAACAGCAACCCCTCATGTGTGACAGAAGAAGCAGACCTTGTTGATGGTGGCAGCCCCTTTGGATTTCCCACAATTCAAAGAGGGCTTTTTGGGAAAAACAGAATGGTGGCTATTTCAATTCTTTTCCACAAAATAATTTTGCCTTGCCTCTGAAATATAGTTAAAATAAAACAGCAAGGTAAGGTAGAGAAGGGCAACTTGTACCCCTCTGGATGTTTTGGTTTAAATTTGGCTAGGCTCACTGGGGCTGATAGGAGTTTTAGGCAAAACATATGGAGGGGCACAAGTGGCTCATACCAGGGCTAAGGAAAATTTCTTCAGGTCAGTACAGCCCTAGTATATATGTCAGGCTGACAAGGCAAAGAGCCCTGTGAAAATGTAAAATTGGTGAAAAGAATAAAGAAAGAGGAAGGATTTGTTTCATCTGTCCACACCATGTCAGGGGCAAGCAGCTGGGACAATCCTGCTGCCTCTGTCACTTGTGGGTGGAATTTCCACTGTTCGTTTGTAGCCCAAAAGCTCAGCAAGGATTTCCATTGGCCGTGGACCTGGTGGAGGGTGGTCAGCATGCTGAATCTCCAGGATAGGGGATCTCCATGCAGCTGAGCATTGTGAGCAGCTTTGAGGGCAATCTTTGCCATTCCTTTTCTTGCCAGCCATGCACCTGGTTGCCTCTTGGCAGGTTTCCCATGGCTCCTGGTTGCCTCTTGGCAGGTTTCCCATGGCTTTGAGCAGGAAGACGTGATACTAAAGAGACTGGGAAGCTTCAAAAGTGCAGAACCTGATACTAGGAGCACAGGAGCGATGCTTTTTTGCTATACAGGCAGTCCCTGAGTTACTAACATTCGAGTTAAGAACAACCTGTACTTATGAACAAACTGCCATGAGGCCTATTTTTAAAAAATGCTGCAGAAAATTGTCATCACCACAGAGAGGAAGTGAAAGGGGAGAGAGGGAAAGCTTGCCTTCCTGAACCACCCAACCAGAGAGGGAAATCGCTCTGGCATTTCCTTGCTGCAAAGAGGCAGACCTAGTGAGTTTGGGTGGGAGGTGTGAGGCATAGCCGTGATTTTTCCACTTTCATGAGGGCCCTGCACCCTCAAACTCCACAAATGTGGAGGAGCAACTATACGTGATTCAACTTACTCAACTCAAAGACCGATTTCCATTTTCTCAGGAATGGAACTTGTTCATAGCCCAGGGACTGCCTGTATAACATTCTATAATGCCCACTGAATGTTTTTATATATTGTGCAACCACAAACCAAAGTACCAAGCCAACAAGGACTTCATTTTCAGGAATAGGCAGAGATAGTAACAGAAATAATTCGGGGGGGGGGTATAATTGCAAATGACTATTATGAACAGGAACCGTCATGCCAAAGCTTTGTATATGCAATGATGAGTTTCACTTGCATAAGAATGTGGATTTGAGCATATTTGCCACACAAATCCAGCCTTACAGTACATATGGTGGTGGAACTAGAAAGTAAAAGGCATTGGGCAACTGTTCTGTCTTTTCACCCTGAATGTATTTTCTCCATTAAGGCAGAAATGGTAAGAAAACACAGGAGAATTACAAGTAGAAGGAACACAAGCCTTTCTTCATGAGGCACTGATTGTGTGTTTGTGATTCCTCATCTATGGTAGTTTCCAGTGATTTATACAACATGGTCACCCGAAAGGGTCCCTCCTGTGCTTTCCAGGCATTTTAGTGATTCCCACCCTCCCCCATACTTTTGTGAAATGAAATAAATAACCAAACAAGGTTCTGTAGCCCCGCTTTTACCTAAAGTAACCACACTGCCTAGTGGAGTGTTCTGACTGTGCCACAGTGATCTCCTGTCAGAGTGAATGGGCCCGCGTGCATTCTAAAAGTTTTAAACCCTGAAATGGGGGGGCATAGCTTCCATCATGCTCTTCCAAGTCCCTTTTGGACAGTTCCTGAAACTTTTCCAGAGACAACGATGTGTTGTCAAAATACACTGCTCAGCATTCCACTCTCCTTCCATCAGCATGAGAGCAAGGATTACCTCCAAATTGCTCAGGAAAGATGCCACATTCTGCTTCAGGTCAGCTACAGCTGAAGCCAGCCACTGGAACTTCTCTTCCAGCTCATCAAATTCCTTATCCTCTGTCTAAAAGAGAGACAAAAGGGAAGTTAATCATCATTTTGGCAGTTTGACTCCTGATCCAGGGGCAGCTTAAACATGAGCAGGATTACACCTGCATGTGCCTGGGTGGTAACAGGCAGGAGAGGATCGCAGTCGGTGCATGCGAATCACAGTTTTAAATAGATATGAGGATGAAAATTACACAAAACAAGCGCTTGCCACTTTTGGAGGCTTCCAAGAAATTGAATATCATTCCTGACATAGGCACATCCTAGATCAGCTGTGTCCTGATGTTTTGACTGAGCATGGCCAACGTCCGCCAGGTTTCGGGCTGGCCTGACCTTGGAGGGGAGACAGCCTGGGACCCGCATGTAGCCACCTTCAGTTCCACAATGGAGGAGAGGTGGGACCCATAATAAATAAATAAGTACTTCAAAATACCTGGATGCACCATGTTGGGGAAGGCTGCCCTAAATTAACAGCAAACTAATTGCTGCAAACAGAGTTTGGTGTGTATCGTCTTCTGTATTTCTGAAATGTCATGTTATCTAACTGATCATCTAGTCCCTGTTGTATACATGCCATGAGCCCTTCTACATGAGGCTGTTAATCTACTGTTATCTGTGTTTGGTTTTGTCACAGAATTGATATTTGAGTGCTTCCTTTCCTGCTTTTTTGCCATGTAACCTCTAGGTGGCACTCTGCTACAGTGGAATATTGCAGTTACACAAGCAGGAAAATGCTGTTGGTTTTGCTTTCAGAAATGGTACTCCATTTTCCCCACCCTATATGATACCTGGGAAAGTGCCCTTAAAAACTTTAAACTGGATGATTGCATCCTCATCCTCATCTAAAGAAGCTTGAAACAAATGTAAGGAATCATGCGTGCACAATAAATGCTTCATGTGTTTAAAGTAGCAAAAAGAAGGCATTACATTCAGTAAGAAGGGCTCGTCCCACTTGCAGTCCCTGCATTTTTTTCAGAGTATTTGAAATTCATTTCTACACTTTAGAAGTCGCACAGTCCTGGTTTCATTGCCCTTGCACTGCTGGTTGGGAGTAAAGCTACTTTAATTTCCCATAATTGTGCTCAATTGCGCAAAGGGTGGTCTTAAACAGGATCATAACACTTCAGCTTCGGCAAAACTAGAACAGTGTTGCAACAGGGGTGTGATGAGGACAGAAAAATGCTCTGCATGCTTACAGCTCCACATAAATTACTAGCATTGCCATTATATCCCTGACCAGGTCACAAGTTGGTGTTGTTATGCGATCTCCACCATGTGGGTATCACGATCCCAAAACTGATGGCATGAGCTCAGGGAGGCTAAAATGCAAATGCTTACTGCCATCTATGAAGCACCAGTGACTTCAGCCTGGTGCAATGGACATTATGGATGGTATGTAGATACCTAGAGAATCCCCTCCCAACAGCAGGCAGCCTCTCTGTTGTCTTCCTTCGCCCTCCCTCATAACTCAAGCAAGGCATTCCATGTAAACACTAATAGCTGAGAAACAAGGAAGGGAATAGGCGAAGAACACAAGCGAGGTCCATCTAATCCAGCATTCTGCTCACACACTGTCCAACCAGTCTTTCTGGGAAGCCCACAGGGAGACCGTGCATGCAGCAGCACCCTCCCCATCAACTGGGATACCTCAGCAAACCACCTCCGATCCTGGAGACTGCACACAGCTAGCAGGACTAGAAGCAACGGATCTCCCTGTCCTCCAGGCACTGCTCCAACCCCCTCTGAAAGCCATCCAAGTCAGCTGCTGGATCGTCGCTATATTTTATTGCTGTGGACCTTCCAGTGAGCTTTGGCTATAGGGTGGTATAGAAATGAAAAGAACCATAATCCTAATCATAAGTTCTTTGCGGAAAGGGATGCCATAGTTTAGTTATGTGAAGCAGTACTTCCCTTTCATCTGTCCTGAACCTCTTATCATTTTGCTTCATGGGATGGCCCCAAGTTCTAGTATCCATTTTCTCAACACCATGCATACTTTTGCATCATGCATTCTCATACTCTTCATCTTTCTAAGCTAAACAGTCCAATAGCTAAATATTTAGCTTATTATTTAAGCTAAATAATAGCAACTTTTCCTCATGGGGAAGTTGCTCTAGCTTCTTGATCAATTTGGTTGCCCTTCTGTGCACCTTTTCTGTCTCTGCAATAGCCCCTTTGAGGTCCAGTGGCCAGAACCATGCATGGCACTCTGAGTGTGATACTCACTTTAGACACAATCCCAGCCTCATGCATGAAGAGGCGGCTGAGTCGTGTGGTTTTCTTGGCAATAGAGTGTGTGTTGAGGCGGGCCAGGCGTTCCCGTAAGGTCAGGTACCCAGGCTTGTTGTATTTATCTGCTGCTCTCAGACATGTGGATTAGAAGAAGGAAAGGAGCACATCATACAAGGCAAGAAAGACAGTCCTGGGCATTTGGGGATATGGAGCATTGTCCCAAAACAAGAAGTAACATACATCAACTTGTGAAGCATGACTATGATGGCGTTTTGGTCCATTCTGACACCCTGGATAAAACTGAGCTGGAGAGGGCCATGAGAAAAAGCTTAGCTACTTTTATTTTTTTTTATAATAAGTTTTATTCAAAATACCCCTAAAACAAAGAAAAACTAAACACAACATCAATCATCAGAAACATCAGACCTGCTGGGTCAGCCCCCACATTTTTTTCCGTTTATGATAACTTAGAAATGTATTTAAATCTATATGAAGTCCTGTTTCTCTAGCCAATGATAAAAAGAGTCCCAAATTTGATAGAAATCAGTATCTTCTTTCTCCTTCAATAAAAAGCTTAGCTACTTTTAGAAGGCAGCAAACATACCTTCAGGGGGCTGCCTCGTGTCTACTGTCCCTTCAAACATTGTAGGATAGCTAAAACAGCTGGAGTACTGCCAGTGAAATAAGTCAGTCATTACTAAATCTGGAGACAACCCAGTATGCCCTCAGATGGATAAGAAGCGATCTGTGTCCTGATGGAGACTCTTTTCCTGCCTCTTTTGCTTTTCATAAGGGGCAGCTTCAAAGCTAACCCCACTACTGACTGGTCCCAACCTAACAAGTGATACTAAATTCCATCTCTGTTTTGTCCAGCAGTCCAAACACAAGGCAATGTCTTCTAAAGCATCCTCTCTTTTCAGGAAGGACTTTCCACATCTTTCCATTATATTTCATTAATTAACTAATTAATTTATTTTTATACTGCTTAATAGCCAAGGCACTCTGGGCAGTTAACAAATGATTAAAAAATGAAAAAAATAAAAGCACATACACAAATACGCATAGCAACTTCAATTAAATCAGCACAGCAGTGGTACAGAATAAAATGCACTGTGTAAAATGAAGTTTGAAAGTTAAACTGTTAAATGCTGGGAGAATAAAAAGGTCCTCACCTGGTGCCAGAAAGAATACAAAGTGGGGAGTTCATTTGGGGAGGTCTTTGGGGAGCTCAGTCCAGAACCAGGGTGTCACAACCAAAAAGACCCTCCTCCTGGTAGCCACCTGCCTCCCTTCCTTTGGAAGGGCTCCTGAAGGGGGAGCCTGAGGATGACCTCAGGGTACATACAAACAGGACAAGGGGATCCTTCAGATAACTTGGCCCTGAGCCATTTAGGGCTTTGAAATGGGTCCAGACTTCAACTGGCAGCCAGTGCAGCTGGAAGAGAACTGGCATAATATGGTCTTGTCGGCCAGTCCCCATTAAACAGTCTTGCTGCCCTGTTTTGGATCAGCTGAAGTTTCCAGACCATTTTCAGAGGCAGACCCACACACAGCACATTGCAGTAATCCAAACAAGAGGCTACCAGAGCATGGATTGCTGCAGCGACGCTTTCTCTGTCCAGGCTTTCTCATAATTGGTATATCAGCTTAAGCCGCTAAAAAATGCTCTGTGCTTGTGTGTGTGAGTATGTGTGTCAGGCAGCTCCGGTCTGGCGATAGTACTGTCCATCATGGTTCCAGTCCAGATCCATTTGTGAGTCTTTTGCAGCAGTACTGTGGCCCTTAGACTGCATCTGCAGAGCCACGGGATGGCTCAGAATCCTCCCACTCTGAGGTGGGTGATAGCACTCCATCCGCAGAAGAGGGACTCAGAAATCTGGCCTCCCCTTCCCCCTTCCTCCTTGCCCTCACAGAAAGACCCATGAAGGCTGGCCTCCATGACTGGGAATGTGACTTCAGAGGGGAGGAAAAATGTGTAGGGAAGGGAAAAGAAAAGAGAGGCCAGGGTATGAGATAACCTGACCCCCAGCCTGCCTCTTTGTTTCCCCCTCCAAAATGCCATCACTAAATGGGTTAAAAAGCCCAACTAGCAAAAAATGCAGAGCGGAAGGTGCAGGCAGCCTCTGGGACCCCTTCCACCCAGTACTAAATGATCATAAGCCTCTAAAATTGGGGTTAACAATGGGACAGGACCAGTCCCTTCCATTATTCATTTTCTAAGTGTTATGCTCTGGCTCAGCAAACTTCTCTCAGTATAGAGCCAGAACTGATGTTAGAAGATTTTATTATTTTAAGTTTTTGCTTTCTTTTCAACATTGTGTTTTCGTAGGCGTTATGATGACTGAGCTCTAGATGCAATCTAGAGCATTGTGTCCATGGAGTGCTACACCAGCAAGTGCTCAGAGAGCATGTATTTTCCTCACCTACTTCCTTGCGTCTTTTGTACTCATTGATATTGGCATTGACATCTATCATGGCATTGGCTGCAGCTCGAAGGGCTTCATAGGCGCTGTTACTGGCAGGAGTGTTTTCCAAAATCTTCTGAAGCAACAGTGGGTATTTCGTGACCCGCTGCACGGGCATCACAAGGAAAAAGCTCAGATCTGAAGCACCTGTGTAAGGCCTGTCCAAGAGATACAGAACAACATCGAAATTTAAGAAAGGTTCTGGGTTGTCTGGGCTTTCCCCAACTGAAGGAGCAACTTCCAAAGCTTCTTAAATAGATAGGCAGCAACTGTGCACAAAGTTTGTATTTGTTTGTTTGAAGCCTACCAAAAAACTGATACCTGACTCAAACAAACAAATGCAAGCTTGGTGTACAGTTCCTACCTATCTATCTGAGAAGCTTTGGAATGGGTCATGAGCAAAGTAGGCTCACTTCGGGGATGGTGGTGGGGGGTGAAGTTAATGGAGGTAGCAGAAAACTTCGCTGGGCTTGGATGTTAAAGAAAGACTTTGCCATCTGCAGATCCACTTTGGATCAGGCTCACACCATTTGGGTTTGCTATGAAATGAACCTGGATCATGACATTTGAGGCCTCTGGGTCCTGATGCATTCTCATTACCTGGTACATCATAGTTATATCACCATGGTAATGCGTAAACCCCATGTAATAGATGTACTCTAAACTGAGGCCCAGGGAGTAGCTGGTGCTAAATGGCATACATCGTGTATTGCAGATTCATTGCAACACTGGCAGATTCACACTCCCTGGCTTGGGCAGCGTCTCCTTGCTCCTTCGCAAACAGACCTGTCACGACCTGTCAAGCCTGTCACAGCCTTGCTCGGTCACTCAAGTAACGGGTTCAGCTGGAGGGCATGGCCACTGCAAGCCACTGGCCGCTGCCCTTGCTTTGTGACACACAGTGTCATGTTTGTTTGGCTAACCAACGCGCTCTGGGGCTCAGTTTCGTTTCACAGATGGAAGGCAGAAGTAGAAGGGCCTGGGAGGAAGGGCCTGCAGCAGAGCCGGTGAGCAACTCCTAAAGTGTGGCTGACCGTCTTTTCCTTGCTCCTCCAGAAACACACTGAAGACAAGGCAGCAAAGGGGAAGTTCCTCCATCCAGGCAGGCTCATTTCTTGCCTTGAGATGTACCATCTGCGGTGACACAGCTGAAGCCTTCCCAACAGCAGAAGTGAAACCATGACCACGTCACCGCCTGCTTTGCAGCAATCTGCCCATAAGCTCGTTAAACAGCCCCAGTCAGAGTGCTTGGGATGGGTAACACTACTTCAAAGGCATCAGTCATAAAACTGACAGAATTAATCACCGCTAAATATTAAATGCCACATCAGCTATCCATGCTCCCTCAAATCAAGGACAAAGTATCTAAGTCTAAAATCCTATGCACACGTACCTGGGAGTAAATCCCATCAAATGTGGTGGGACCTACTTCCAAGTAGACAAGCACGAAATCAAGCTGTACGCATCTAGTTTACAGGGTGCTGGCCATATAGAATTCTATACACAGACACTCACTCAACAGCAGTAATTGTCAGATATTAAACCTACAGGACAAAATAAATTCTTGTATAGTAGTGGACTGCACATTCCAATATTCAATAACATATTTCCATTAGCTGGAAAAATGATTTACTCTGGACAGGATCCACACCTAGGCATGCAGGACCAGACTGATAGAGGCAGACTCCTGACCACCACCAGCCCTTCCAGCCCCGTGAAAATGCTACAAAGGGGTCGGGGCCATGGAGATCCCTAAAAGTCAAGCAGAGGGACCATCTGTAAGTGGAGGTTCCTGGATTCAACCCCTAATATGGTACTTTTCTTCAATTAACGTAGTAAGTTTAATTTAAGCCTCTGATTTGATTTACAGATAAAGTTGCATGGAGCCAGGGTTCTTCCAAATGAGGTTTTTCATGCACTGTCACACTGCCAGGTGCCCCAGACACAAATTTCCACTCTTCCTTTCCCATGTTTTCTTATGGTGTATTCCATGTTTTTTTCTTACCGCAGGAAATCCATTAAGAAAGGACAGAGTGGCTCAACCATGCCTTCTGGTCAGTAGCCCTAGCACCTCCATCTTAAGAAAAGCCATGCTGGACTAGACCCATGGTCCACCTAGTCCAGGAGGCTCTTCACATGCTGGAAAACCAGCTACCCACTGGATCCCTCAGGCAGGTTATAACAGCCACCTCCTGCCCAAACTCCCCAGCAATTGGTGTTTGCAGGCATGAGATGCAAGCTTCTCTCATGTCAATGTTAAAGCAGCTTTTAAACAACTTCAAGCACCAGCTTTCTTTTTAAAGTAGTTTCACACATAAGAAGGAAAAATCAACCCTAAAAGAAAACAACCCCAACCCTGACTGCTCTTTAGAAGGGCAGATACTGAAGCTGAAGCTCAAATACTTTGGCCACCTAAAGAGAAGGAAGGACTCCCTGGAGAAGACCCTAATGCTGGGAATGCTTGGAGGCAAAAGGAGAAAGGGACGGCAGAGGTTGAGGTTGCTGCATGGGGTCACTGGGGAGGTGGGTGTGGGCTTGGGTGGACTCCAGGGGACAGTGGAGGACAGGAGAACCTGGAGGAAAGTTGTCCATGGGGTTGTGAGGAGTCTGACACAACTTTGCAGCTGAACAACAACACATACAAGATGTCCAGGTGATACAGTTTCTGACATCAAGAGAACTACTTACACTGTGCTAGTCAGGGTATCCACCATCTCTTTTTGCAGTCTTGGATCCTTCCTGTAACTCTCCAGCAGCAGAAGAGCTTGGTCATAGTTGCTACAATAAGTTTTATAGACATTCTCCATCTCTTCTTTGAGCTCTTGGAATAAAGTGCCTACCATACCAAAGTTTCAAGACAGTAACACCAGAAATACAGTCACATTTCAAGTGCCTCTGAAAACGCTCGGAGCCATCAAAGCAACCATTACAAAAATCAGCCTCAAGTCTCAACAAAGAATCCCACTTCCAAAAATATATGGGAGCCGCTCCAAAAATTACTAAAGAGACTAAATGCCTGCACCTTGGGCTGTACTGAAACAGGACTGAACTTGATGGATTTCCTGACTTTCCTGTGATTGGAAGCAAGCTGAGTTGGGTTTTCTTCCACTGAGTTTCTCTAAAGGGGATTGCAATTCATGCATTTTCAACCGCTAAGGAAATTTGCTCAAACAAGCCCCTGAGAACCATGTGGATCTGGGGCAATTTGTGCAGAATCAGCTATCAAGTCACTCTTAGGTGTGACAGCCCTCTCAGGTGCCATGGCATGCAAACCAGGTCAATATGTGGTGAGCCTCCCTCCCATTACCTGCTACCTTTTGACCCTTGGCATGTTGTTCCACTTCTCTCTCTCTCTTTTACTTTGTACTCTGTTTTTTACTCTGTCTCTTCCATCCTCCCCCACTTTCTCCAGAAAATAGACCACCTCTTCATCTTTGAAGTTGTTTAGAAGTTTCTTCAGAGACCCCTTTCTGGTTAGCCCCTTCTTACCCAAATTCCTTCTTTCCTCTGCCCTTTACCTGAAGCTTTATTTGCTACCTGTACTTACTTTTGGTTGTTGTGATCTTTCCTCTCCTGGCTTCTCTATTTCTATTTCTGTTTTTCTGCTTGGACCCGTGGAATGTTTTAATTCCACCCAGACTGGCTACTATGCCTTACTTCACAGAAGCTATTCTACAAACCCTATTGCAGATTTTTTGGGGGCACCAGGCATCAGGTACCAAACAAATCTGTTATCTGCAGTGGTGCCCCAACTATGGAATGCGCTCCCTAGAGAGGTCCACCTGGCATCATCATTATATGCTTTTCAGCACCAGGTCAAGACCTTTTTATTTAATCAATATTTTAAAGTTAATTAATTTTAATTGTATATTTTTTCATTTAATTCATTTTAACCATGTTATTTTATACTCAGTCATGGTGTAGCCAATTTATTTACTTGTTAGGATTGGGCACTGTATTTGGGGTTTTAATGTTTGTAAACCACCCAGAGAGCCCTCTGGGCTATTGGGGTGGTATATAAATGCAGTAAATAAATAAATTATAGCGTTTGCAGAACAGTTTCTGTGAGATAAGGGAAATTGGTCAGTCTGGCCATGATTAAAAGCTCCCACAGAGACACCTGATTGCTGCTGCATGGGAATGGCCTGAAACCAGCCCATGGATCGGACGGCTCGCTACTCCCTGAGCGCCTCACAAACTCATCCAGTTGCACGATTGCATGCTGCCTTCCCTTGCAGTTCTCCTTCTTGTGATCTAATACAACAGCATCACAAGTGAAATCCTGCTATAGCCTTCCACTTGCCTGTAATTTAGGTATATTTTAATCTTGGCACAAATTACCAGAGGCTGTTGTCCTCTTGGCCGTATAAGCACCTTCAAAGTAATTATTTTCCTCTTCTATGGATGGCAGTAACAATTATGCAATCACAGGAACTGTGATTTTACACTGAAGCTAATTAACATCTAGATTGTCTGGCTTTGTAAACGCTTACCTTTAGTGTGATTTCCCTTTTGAAACAAGGTTGGGCAGCAGGGCATGGCTGCATGATCAGAGGAAAATTGCCCTCCTCTGCATTACAGCAATCAGTCACATTGCTCGCAGTAAACACGACTGAATATAACACACAGTTTTCAGCTGATGTAATAGCATCTGCCCCCCAAACCATGCAGACGGCTGACTGTCCTATTCTTACTCACTGATGTGTAAGAGCTGCTCATCGTGCTTGTGATTCACTGCTTCTTCAAGTCCTCTCAGGAAATGTTTGGAAACACACAATACATCATCTATATTAGAGAATAATCCTTCCAGGTCCATTTGAGGCAGCTAAAAGACACAAGAGGTATATTTGCATGTCAAAACAACCCACCTTGCAAAGCAGCCCTGGTAGACTTGTTATTTAAGGAACGATCCACAGCATGCCTGACCGACGCTTTGGTTCACTGGATGTTGTTCCCACCACTTTCCCCCTCAGTCCTCTCCCAAATATTCCAGAGGACATGGCAGTAGGAGCTGCCTTGTCTTCTCTCCCCACTGTACTCACAACCCCTTTTTGCTCAGCACTCCAGCTTTTTTCTACCCCTGCCCTTTTCCCTTCTTTTCCTTTTCTTTTCATGATCTCTGCCAGTGGCAGCCACTGACAGTCCCTGAAGGTGTCCAAGCAACGCTGAGCACCACACATTTTTATAAAAATAAGGACCGGAAAAGTGCACAAAAATTTGTGTTGTATTGTGATGATTGGTCAGTAGTTCATTTTTATGTATTATTAAATTTTACAAAAATAAATTGCAATACAACTAAAAAGAAAACATACAATTTAAATAATATTTTAATATAAGAAAACTGCATCCTGCCAGCGGACCATTAGATACATGCTAAATCATTTGCTCTTTCAAGAGACTCCATTCCCATTCCAAAACTGCAGTGAGGCTTGTGATGGTTCAAATCTTTACCTTTGGTCAATAGTTGAGAGGTACGTATGGAATTTTGCACTTGCGGGTGACCAAACTGAAAAGTCTGGCCTGTTGCAGTGAGGCTGCGGGGCACAGGATCACAATCTCACCTTCACATATCCCTCACATATTCACATATTCACCATACTCACATATCCTCCCCTTGCTGTCCTGCCCTCCCCAGAACTTACACATTTTGCACCCCCCCAAGACTTCTGTGAGAGAGGGGGTCGAGGGCAGGGGGGCATCCGCAGGGGAATGGGTGGGGTGGCACTAGAACCCTTAACTTGCTGGCTGCGGCCTACGCTGGCGGCCTTGGGTCAGTGGCCAAAAGGCAACGGCCAAAGGGCGCAGCCATCTGGGGCAATTCAGGCCCAATTGGAGTTGGAGTTGGGTTGGGCCTGGAACTCTGTTGGCTTGCACTGCGGGGCAGGCTGGGTTGGGTATGTTTTGATTTATTGTTATGGTTGTTTTATATAGAGCCAGTGGCATTTGTGCAGTAGGGCTCTGTTTTAATGCACAGCATCCTAGTCTTGGTAGTTTAACCTGTATTGTATTTCATTTATATTTGGGTTTCAATTGTTTATGGGAGTTCCTGGGGAGCAGGTGGGTGCACCCATTGGGGTGGCTATAGGCAAGGGAAGATATGGCGCTGGGGGTTTTACATGTCTTTACAGAAGACAGGGGCGGGGTGGGGGGGATACACACACAGGTGGCTAGTATCTGTCCCCTCTTCTGGTTTCTCCTCCAACCAGAAGGTCCCAGGTAGTGATATCAACCAGCCCTCAGGCTTGGTGCTGCTGCTGTTGAATGCCAAGTCAGTCCAGAACAAAACATATCTTATCCATGACTTAATTGTGGATGAGAGGGCCAACCTGGCATGTATTATGGAGAACTGGGCAGGAGAAGCGGGGGGGGGGGGTGTCGCTCACCCCACTGTGCCCAACCCAGGTATCTGGTGTAGTACCAACCCCACCTTGAGGGGAGGGGAGGGGATGTGGCTCTAATTTACGAAGATTCAATCTCTCTCATGGGGCTTCCTGACCCTTTGAGGCCGGGTCTGGACTGTTTGTACTTGGCGATAGATGACTGAGACAGATTAGGGATTTTGTTGGTGTATCATGCACCCTTCTGCCCATCAGACTCCCTGCCTGAGCTGCCAGAGATCATCTCAAACCTGGTGTTGAGGACCCCCAGGATGTTGGTCCTGGGGGACTTCAACTTCCATGCTGAGGCTGCTCTGACCGGGGCAGCTCAGGATTTCATGGCCACCATGCCAGCCATGGGGCTGTCTCAACACATCACTGGCCCAAAGCATGAAAGAGGTCACACTCTACATCTGGTTTTCTCAACTGGGTAGGAAGATGGTGATCTTGAAGTGAGGGGCTTGACTCTAACCCTTTGTCATGGTCAGATCACTTTCTCATGAGGTTTGAACTCAGGGCCAGTTTCCCCCTCTGCAAGGGTGCACACCCTGTTAAGAAGGTTCACCCCCAGAGTCTTATGGATCTGGATGGATTCCTGAGGACTCTGGGGGATTTCCCAGTTTATACAGCTGGCACTCCTGTGGATGCCCTGGTTGATTTGTGAAATGGGGAAATGACCAGGCCAATTGACACAATCACTCCTAAGTGTCGTCTCCCATCATGCAGAGCCCGCTCGGCACCATGGCATAAGCCTGAGTTGCAGGCGATGAAGCAGGCGGGGAGACGACTAGAGTACAGCTGGAGGAAATCCCGTGATGAATATGACCAAATACATCTTAGAGATCATTACTGAGCCTATGCTGTGGTGGTGAGGGTGGTGAAGAAGGAATTCTTCTCTGCTCCCATTGCGTCCTCACAGTGTCATCCAGCTGAGCTCTTTTGGGCGGTGCAGGGCCTATAACACTCTGGGCCTAAAAAGGACCTCATCACACCATCAATGGTTCGCTGCGATGACTTTGCCCAGCACTTCAGGGACAGAATCGCTCAGATTTGCCACAAGCTGGACTCCACAGTCAATGTAGTTTTAGATCGGGGAGGATCCAGAGTACCGCCTGCTTCATCTTTATTGGATGAGTTTCAATTCTTGTGGCCTGAGGATGTGGGCAAGGTGTGGGTTTAGTCTGACCCACCACTTGTCTGATGGACGCTTGCCCCTTGTGGCTGCTCATCAGAGCCAAAGACAGGATATGCACCTGGGTCCTCTCTGAGGGAGGGTCAGGTCCCTGTCCTTTTGAAGGAGGCAGTGATCAGGCCTGTTATTTTCCCATTATTTTAATGTTTAATGATTTTAATGTGGTTTTTATATTACTGAATTATTGGATGCTGTGCCCTATTTTATCTGTTGCTTTGTTGTAAACTGTCCTCAGACACCAGTAGATGCATGGTCTATAAAAGCCGTATCTCCTGTGGCATTTTCAGGCCATACTCCAGGATAGACTTACTAGAACAGAGCTGCATTTGTATTCTTGGTAGGGCAATGAGCATTCTTGCTCACACAGAGAGCCTTCCCAGATCCAGGAGGCTCCCCTCTTCAGAAATTCACTACAAGGTGACAAACGCAATGAAGGAAAGGGCTGCTGGTGTGCCCTGTTTCAGTTCAGAAAGCTTGAACAGAGCTTTGGTCTGCCCCAAGTCCTGAAAGTCCTCTCAAGCAATGCAAGCTTATTTTTCATACTTCCCCAGACACACCTGTGTTCATACAATGCAGGATTCCCTGAGGTGCAGTTTAAACATTTTGGGGCACAAGTCACTTCGAAGTGAAGCTGTGGAGTTCAGGGCATCAGCACCTCCCCTCGCCCCACCCACCTCCACAAGCTCTGTGTCTCACCTGTTTCTTCTGCAGGTGACGGCGGATATCGCCAATGCACAGCTGAAGGTTGTGTACGTAGCTGGCCTCGGTGTTGATGAGCTCCTCCACAGCCAGTCGCTGGTTCTGCTCTGCCTTGTCAGGCCATTCCACTGTTTCGTATATGTGTTCTTCAGCCTCAGGGTCTTCAGCCTGGACCGGCAGTTCCTCAGTGCTGTCATTTGCCATGTCAAGAGCTGTAAAGGGAGAGGTCAACAGCTGGGCCAGAGTGCATGAGAGACTTATTAATGTTCACACCAGGAACATCCTAAGTGTACAAGTCTATGGGAATCCTTATTACAGTTTGCAAATATAAGAGACTTGTTTCAGTGAATGCTCACATGGGTAGTAGCTTAAGCCACTGGCAATTTTGGTAGCGAGTAAGAGGAGTGAAGCAGGAAGTTCATTGTTTAAAGCTAGCCTGGGCTCTGAAACTCCACAGGTCAGGGGTCTCCAATTCAGTGCCTGCAGGTATCTCTGGGCACCTGATAGGCACCTGACATTTTTTCTTTTTAACACACACATACACACAGATTTGCATGAAATGCATAGAATTGTCTAGCAATTATACATAGGCTTCAACAAAAGCAGACCAAATAGAAAACAAGGATACTTCTGAAGATGGCATCTATATACCACTTGTTCAGATACTAGCACTGTAATGTCCTTAATCCATTGCATTATAGCAGGTGAGTATTTTATACTTCCAATACTGTGATATCAGGCTCCTAACTGTCAGAAAGTCACGGAGAAGCCATTATGTTAATCATGTCTTAATTTCCATGAGGCAGTTAAATAATTCAAATAATACATCAGTGGAAAATAAAGACTGTCCCAGTCCAAAATTTATCCTCTTGAAAAGGCGCCATTACTGAGTGTTGCTCAAGCATATGTTTTAAAGAAGCATTAGCTATATTGCACCATCAGCAATTATTAGAGGTATTGTACAATGTCTTATTAAAGGGATATTGAGGCAATCAATAGACATGAAAGGTTTTGCTGAAGAAAATCACCTTAAGATCCATAAATGCAACAGGCAGATGCCAGAATAATGATCCACTGCTTTTTCAGGTGATGCCCACAGCAGATTCTCAAATTCCCAAATGTGCTCATGGGTTCCGAAAAGTTGGACAGCAATGTCCGAAAGGCTTTAACTAAGCATCACACAAAAGAACCTCTTAATGGTGTTTGCCTTTAATGCTCATCTAGGCCCTCAGACAAGCTGTTATCTAGTCTCATTTCTCAGCTGGTGGTCAGATGGTGATAATCAGTAAGGATCTGTGAGGAATTTGTGAGGTAGGGGAGGCTCACTTCCTCTCTCCCACTTAGCCACCTATCTTCAGCCTGGCTAATTGCTCTAAAGCTGTAGCTGCTGCATATTCAGAGTCCCTTCCTGTAGCCCTCAAAACTGCTTGAAGGCCAAAGGAAGTGGTCTGCCTGCTTGTACCAAATCCCCCTCAGCCCAAGGCCACCACAGAGACTTGTTTTGGGCTTTGGGGATGGATGTTTCAAGCCCCATTCATCCCAAGTTTGAGTTGCTCAGGTTTCTTTCAGTGCACCCAGCACAGACAGTGGGAGGGTGGCTATGTTATTGTCCAAGCATTACTTGTGTGATGACGGGCACTTCATAAACAAAGGGTGCATGTACAGATCAAACAGCTGTATGTGCAATTATATGTAATTCTATGCACCACACATATAAACAGTATATAAATATAGTATATATTATTATATATGGTATATACAAACCATGTGTATAAATGTACAGTATATGCAATCGTGTACTGAATATTCTTTATACTTCCCCCTAATTACTTTCAAAGCCACACTGCCAGCTGACTAATTTAGTCCTATTTGGAGCATTCAGTGAGCTCCAACAGACACAGATACAGAGATGTAACAACAGTAGGCAAACCATTCCTCTCTGGGGAACTTTTGCTTGGCCCAAGCGAAGAGATCTGTGGCCTCTGGGACCCTCTTGGCTGTTTTTCCCTGGCAGCATGGCGACTCTTTCATCTCTTGGCATGCAGTGGTTCTGGGTGGCAGCAGGCCATCATTCTCTCCCAGCTCATCTGGGGAGCAAAGGCACCTATTGCTGCCAAGACCCTGTTCTGGTCTGGCTGAGCACCCCCATTTCTCACCAGACTAAAAGGGGAAAGGGCACCCCAGAGAACACTATACTAAAACATAACCCCCCAATGTATTCCTTGTACAAGTTTTGTGAGTTTATTCCTTTCATGTGCTGAATTAATAGGTGCTGTCTACACTGTGTGATGGCTGCATTATTTCAGTTTTATCCATCTATTTTGCATCATCTCATATATCAAATGCTGCTGCTGCTGCTGCTGCTAATAATAATAATAATAATAATAATAATAATAATGTGGAGACTGTATTCTTATTTTCACATCCTTCACATTTTCATTTTGCACACTCATATCTCCCACCATGCATGCCTCACACTTTCTAAGATAGCTACAATAAGATGGCAATATTCAGTTATCTTGTTGGAAGTCTGAGGAGGGCCAAAGTTTTCCACAAGCGTTTCAGGATTTTTGAAAATCAAAAGCAGCTACGAAAGGCTGGAATTTTGGGCCAGCATGAGGGGGCAATGGTGGGGGAGAGGCTACTTAAACTTTCCAGCTTAGGACCCTTTCCTGCTCAAAATCACCCCAGCCTCTTTCCATGATGCAGAGATCCTGGAAGCAAGTGGAGGCAATACTGAGCAAAAACACAGGCTGGGGTAGAAAGGGCAACATCACTTCCCTCAGTCTATGCATTACAGGCTACAGCAAGCCTTTGACTCTGCAGCTCACAAGAAACTGTGGTATTTCTGATTAACTTGATCATCCTAAGATATAACCTGCATTGTGGACAAGAAGCTATTTCTGGGACAGTCCCTCAGCCTCTTCAATGCATGATGAACATGCAAAGAGGCCACTGAATCAATGGAAAGTTATATATGTCATCAAACTCACATAGTAGCTGGACCTCTCCGTATTATGATTATAGTGAGCTTATGCAATGCAAAAGTTGCTTAGAATATGTGATATGAGCTGGTTAATACAGGTCTATTCATATATGATAGAATCTGCATAAAATGTCAGGAAAATGTGAGGTGCTAGGCCAGGGTTGGTGACAGATGCCTACATTTCCCTAAGTTGCCCAGCAAGCAAGCTTGAGCTCTTTTGCTCAAAATGACAGCTCTGAATAGCCGACTTTGTTGCTTGCCTGGAATCGTGAGATAACCTTTCAAAACATCTTGACTGACGGAATTTTTTCTTCTTCACATCAGCCACTCAGCATTCAGTCTGCACTGTATGATGTGTCACTTTCTGGATACAATTCCCAGTACACAGTATAAAAGTCTCCTTTTAACAGGTATGGTTTCCAGCCAGCCACAGCGCCTGCTAATCCTAAATGTTCAAACTACCCCATGCCATACTGCTTAACTGTGTTTGTTACCATCTTCTATAGGAAAGCCAACCCATTTGCAATTTAATAATTTCTCCTGTCCTCAGTTAACCCTGCATTTTAGTTGGAAGGGGGAGGGGACGCACTCAACATTACCCTGTCATGAATTGCAATGTGATTATTATTGTCATACTTGCTAATTTTGTTAGCCTAAAAATTTTTTGTTACACCTAAACCTAAGCAGTTTATGCAGCAGTGTATACAGCATCAGTGGGCCCAATTAAAAATTGTCACTTGCTTGATGTAGCTCTTTGCCAATAGAAACTATGATATTTTAAAACAGAATTCTTTCAGGTCCTGTCTATTTTCCATACAGATTACTGTTAAGAATATGCTTTCATCATACTTTGAAGCTTTGGGGGAAGGGTTCCTTTTATCTTTTGCATTACATATTACATTTACTGTATTCTTCCCTTTCTCTGCAACAAAACTGAAAGTAGATACCATAGATATTCTTATCTGAATCACAGAACAAGGAATCCCTGAGGAAAAAATATCTCTAGAATTTGCTACTGAGGGGCAAATATTTAATTTCAGCAGTTTTTATGAGAAACACACCAGAATACACAGAGGGCTACTGCATGATAAAAAGCAAATGAGATTTTAACCTGAATGCAAGTATGTTATACACACACACAAAGAAACAAAAATAAGAGTCTCACAGCACCTTAAGACTCAGGAATTCATTATGGCCTGAGTTCCACCAATTATAGTCTGGATCAGAAATGATATTTTCGGCAAACAGGTACAGAGAGAAATATGAAATGCTTATGTAGAACACACAAAGTAAGCGGAGTGCAAAAACCAACCAACCAAATCAGAAAGAACAGGTAATCAGTGACAATTAATCAGAATCCTATTCTCGCCTGACCTAAAGGGTTCTTGCTATTTTTTGGGGGTGGGGGGGATTTGGACAAAGACTGTCAGTGGAGTCAGATGCACAGCTAGAGACTCTCAGTGGTGGCTGGGTATCCCATGGCAAATTTATTAATACATGAAGAATGCGTGTACAGCATCCCTCTTACCAAAAACTATACTTAAGGTAGAGTCCTCTGCCCTGTGGCCTCGACACAACCTATGTCTAGAATGAGCCATGGAGGCAATGATCTTTGCTGAGCTTTGTGCTAGCTATTTTCTCCAGATGGCTATTTTTGGACATTAGACTTAGTGTCAGGGAGGAGGACAGAGAGCTGTTGGTGCGGCCTTCTCCCCTTCGCACTCCAGCACACACCCTTTTCCTTCTCCAACGCCCAGCTGTGACCTTGGGAGGAGGCAACAGGCATGCTTCTTTCCATACCAGCTGCAAGGGAGTAACATAGAAACAGAGCAAGTCAGAAGGGGCCTCCTGGGCCATCTAGTCTGACCCCCGGCTCCAGCCAGCTCCGCTCACGACATGCCCACCATGTGCATGTCCAGCCTGTCTTTGAACACCCTCACCGATGGGGCCTCAGCGACCTCTCCTGGAAGCCTGTTCCATACCCTCAGGGTCCTGACTATCAGAAAGTGCCTCCTGGCATCTAAATGGAACCTTGGCTCCCTGAGCTTTGCTCTGTTGGAGCGAGTCCTGCCTTCCTCTACAGGGGAAAACAGGTCTCTACCCACCTCCGTGTGACACCCTCTCATGTACCTATATATTTTTTATTTATTTATTTATTTATTTTTCAATTTATATCCTGCCTTTTTCCTTCAAGGGGCTCAAGGCAGCTTACATCATTCTCCTCCT